TGTGCTCTTCCGATCTCCCCAAAACCCCAAAACCCCATTATACAAAGATAACTAATGAAAAATTACAGCAATATAAATTTTTATCTTATAAGTAATTCCAAAGACAACATGCAATCAGCATCCGCTCTCGGACAAGATCAACCATATAAAACTCTATCAAGTGGATATAAAATGCCCTTGATAGGTCTCGGAACCGATAAAATCTTTGACTCTGATATTTTAGCTAATGCAGTAATTCAAGTTGGCTACAGAACTCTAGATACAGCTAGCAGATATCAAAATGAACACGTAGTAGGCGAAGCAATCTAAAAGATAATATCAAATACTGAACTCAAGAGAGATGATTTATTTGTAGTGACAAAGGTCTGGTAAGATGAAGTTGAAGATGTAGAAGCGGCTTGTAAAAGATCACTTGACAGACTGAAACTAGACTATGTTGATTTATACCTGTTGCATTGGCCCTTGTATACCAGACTAGTTGAACCAGCGAATCCAGAAACAAATACTCCAGCAAAGTATGAAAGAATCAACATCCCTGTTCACAAAGTCTGGCCTTAACTTGAAGCTTTAGTTGAGAAAGGATTGGTAAGAAGTATTGGTGTATCTAATTTTGGAGTTTAAAGTCTTTGGGACCTTCAAAGCTATGCCAAGATCATTCCTGCAGTTAATGAGATTGAGATTAATCCTTTATATGCCCAAACTGATTTAGTTAAGTATTGTCTAGCCAATAATATTTTGCCAATTGCCTATACACCAATTGCAAGAGCTGCAACCACAGAAAAGAAAAGAGGCACAGATAATGTTCTAGAGACAGATATTGTTCAAGCTTGCAGCAAAAAGTACCAAAAGTCTCCAGTCTAAGTCGTGCTGAATTGGGGAATTTCAAGAGGATACGGAATTATTCCAAAGTCAGCAAATATTGACAGACAAAGAGAAAACTTCCAAATTTATGATTTCAAGATGGAATAATCTGATCTTGATGAAATAACAGCTCTCAACAGAGGTCAAAAGATCTGCTACAGAGATGAATTCGTGTTTTTCCATAATATTTTTGCTTGACTGGCGAAAAATTAGACTGGATGATTCAAATCGAATGATACGTTTCCTTAACATCAAATCCTAATAAAAATTTAAGAAGCTAAATCTTTTAACTTCCTCTTATTTTATTGCTATATGGGGTTTTGGGGTTTTGGGG